CGATAATGACTAAAGTTTTATTGTATGCTTAGCTATATCAAATACAGTTCTATTTTTACCGTTTACTTAAAAGATTCGTTTAGATAGATTAGCTTCCTCTGCACGTACGAGTGTATGTGAAGTTTTGTAGCACCCCAAACAAAGGGTGCCCCGTTGCACCTGGTAGCACTTTGTAGTCCGTCAAACGTCTACTTAGTTTCCGTCCCACATGAACATGTCGGACGTAGAAGACGACAGCTTTCACGTCACACGTGAGGGCTACTTCCATCTGAGTGACTCAGAATGGAAGACAGTCGTCCGCATGAGTGTACTCATGGGCGAACCCGCCATCAGTGGCATGTTGGAGTCTCTAATCAGAGACCAACAACATGCCGCTATCAACAAGTTCCTACAAGGGGAACTTGCCATCAAAAGACAGAAGATAGCCTAGCGACAACAGCAAGGCTCTCATCAGTCGATGGGCGAGCCGACGCACACGCATGACCTGAAACCTTAGAGTTTGATATCTCAAGGTATAAGGGAACCGATGAAGATTCCTTTTTAAGATGATTCGTCGAGTTAGACAATGCCAGCAGGGCCCGTCACATCGAGGGTGACGAGATGCAAGCCACCTTCGCCCTGTCAAACTTGACAGGCCGAGCAAAGACTTGGGCCCTAGGGCTCAAGCTTCACGACTTAAACTTGTTTAAGTCGTTGGAGATCTTGAATTCTCGGCTCAAAGAGACGTTTGATCAGCCACGAGCCGAGTTTAGAGCGCGATCTGAACTCCTGTGGCTCAAACAAGGTGAGCGTGATGTGCACGATTACGCACAACACCTACGCTACCTTGCGAGTAGCGTCACGGAAAACCTTGTTGATGAGCACACAATCATCAACGTGTTCATCTACGGCCTTGTAGATGGACCGGTGAAGACCTACATGTTCTGAGAGGACTTCCATACGCTGGAGAAGGCGATAGCGTATGCGGAACAAGAAGACTTCAGCCTGAGACAGTCGCAGGCTAAATCGTCAAACTATCTTCCGACGAGACGACAGGAAACAGGAGGTCCCGAACCAATGGAACGCTTTAACATCAAGAGCGAGAAATCTCGCCCTCTGAGTCACAAGCGAACGGCAAGATGCCATCGCTGTGAGAAGATTGGACGCTACTCTCATGAGTGTAGTTCCCCAGGAACCGCAACACGTCCAACGACAGGACGTGGTGACCGCCGTTGGTCAAGGAAAGGTCCAAGGCGTGGGTCCGACCATGTCGCTAAGCCGCGACAGCAAGTAAAACTGTCAAAAAAGGACAGGGTTAGTAGAGGCGGAGCACCCTGCCGATCCAGCAAAGTCAAGAGAATTTGCAGGCCTCTTGACGAAGATTTCTCTCAACGCACAGTCGCTGTGTGTTAATGCCCCTAGTGGTGAGGAGTCCTTCATCACTTTGAAAATTAGGTGGAAAGCCGAATGTCACTTCGCGCCCTAGTTGACTGTAGGGCATCGAACAGTTTAATTCGACGCCTGTCGCTAGTGGATAGTGGGCTCAACTATGTTAGCGAGAGTTCCCTCCAACGAGGATGACGGTGTGCATTGCTACAGGCGCATCCGTAACAGTGAACAAACGCGTAGTGATAGTTCACTACACGCTAGAAAGAACGCAGTAAGATAATGACTTCATCGTACTAGATTTCGATGACAAATTTGATGTCACCCTCGGTCTGCCATGACTTAGAGCGTAACAGCCATGGATCAGCTGGCAGCATCGATCTGTGAAGATGCCTACCGTTTGCTAATCAGATGTCCATTTGATGAACGTCTTGGAGTGTCCACAAGTGTGTGGATGTACTACGAGTGAGTGCGATGGCCTCACTTGTGGTACGGTCGTTAGTACGACTGCACAAGACCACAGTGTTGCAGGCAACTACACTGTGGAACCAGCTTCCGGCACCTGAGCAGAGACACAGGCTGCGCCGAAGGCTCACCACTCGAAGGACTGGAACACGGATGCACACCTACAAGGGTGCATCCAAGAAGAGAGATTAGTGCTGTTCAAAACGAACATCACGTTGAAGCAAGATCGACTGAAAGAGAGTCGATCGAAGAGGAAGTGACTGTGGTAGTGCACCCACAGTCAGTACGGGTAATGAAAGAAAGTTCCAGCGTTCCTGAGAGTGACAACTCCCGAGAGAGTTATGCTGAGGATGTGGATCCCCAATCACCTGCGGATGTGTTCCTAGGAAAGCAACGAGACAGTGAATGTCTTGGTGAATGACGGATCAAGTGTAGGCGCTTATACACTTGATCTGGTTATGCCCCCGAAGTCAGCTTCGGAGGTAGTCAAGTTGTTAACGCCAGAATCTATAAGATTCTTGCGATATCTGTGTACTCGTCACAGAGGACGAGTACGTCGCCGATATTCGGTCGGCACAAGTGTTTACTGAGAACGAATGGGTTCTCAGTGGCTCATCGATGGACGAGAGTGTTCACGATGAGAAGACTCGGATCGAGCGATACACGTCTCAATCTTGGGAGTCTTTGAAGACAAAATTTCTGTAAAAGAAATTGGTTGAATTCAGGGATGTTTTCCCGGTATCCGTGCTATGCGAGCTTCCCAAGGACAAAGGCACTCGGCATGGAATCGAAATGAAACCTGGTTCGAAATACTGTGTCATGAAGCAGTATACACTGCCTCGAGAACAGATAACAGCGATCGAAAAATCTTTGACGATCGCTCAGCGTCTGGTCATGTGAGGGAATCAACGACCCCACACACCTCTCCGACCTTCTGTGTGCAAAAGGCCACAGGAGGGTGGCGGATAGTGCACGCGCTCAACAAATTGAACGCTGCAACGGTACCGGCTCAGACGCCGATACCGAGGAAGGGCGTCATCATAGATAGTATGGCAAAAAATACCATCTTTTCGTCCATGGATCTGATGGATAAATTCTATCAGATCATCAGATGTGATGGGGATATCCCGTACACAGCAGTAAGAAACCCCAGTCGTATGCTCTGGGAGTGGATAGTGATGCCACAGGGGCTAAGTAACGGCCCTGCAACGTTCAACAGATGTGTTACAAATCTTTTGCGATCGGTGCGAGACTTCGCACCGATTTACTTCGATGATTTATTCGTCCACAGCCGGGCTATGGATGGAAAGACGGACGTGGGGGTTCATAGAATCCACGTCCGGAAGTTTCTTGCACTAATGCGTGAGCACAAACTGTTCATAAATCTCAAGAAGTGTATATTTACAGCGAGCAAAATACCACTTCTTGATTGCATCGTGGGTAAAAACGGTGTACGCCCTGATCCGGAAAAGATCAAGGCGATTAGCGACTGGCCTGTGCCAGTCGACGTCAAGAGACTTAGAGCGTTTCTTGGCCTAGCGGCGTACTTGCATAAGTACTCGCGCAACTACGCCGAGATGGCCGTTCATCTCTCTCGTTTGTTAAATACAAACGAGAGGTGGTCATGGAGTGCTGACAGTCAGCACTCCTTTAAAGGTATTAAGAAAAACTTGGTACAATCGCCTGTGTTAGCGATAACAGAACAGGACAAACCAATCCATGTGGTCTGTGACACCAGCGCTTTTGCAATCGGCTGCGCGTTAATGCAGTACGACCCAGACGGCGTTGAGCTCATCGTCTGTTACCAATCGCGTCAGCTTCAAGCATCTAAACGTATTTACCCGGTGCATGACAAGGAAGTCCTTGCCATGAAATATGTACTGGCCAAGTTTCGGGCATATCTCTTAGGAAATAGGCCCTTTATCGTTTAAACCGACCATGCGTCATTACGCACGGCCGTAAACAGTCCACACCTCTCGCAACAAATGGCGAGATGGCTGTCTTTCTTCGCGGACTTCAACTTCTCCGTCGAGTATAAACCAGGAACGACTTAATGTCGTCGCTGATGCTCTTTCGCGTCGTCCCGATTTTTAGCCGAATGCTCAACACAACAGTAGAATTGATCCCACTGTAGCAACACTAACAGTGAGTGTTCCGTCGTCGAATCTACTCGACGACGTGCGAAAAGCATAGGCAGAAGATGAGTCTCTTCTGCAACTAATGGATTGCGCATCCAATCCGTGCAGTAAAGCTTTGAATAGCTTGTCGCCTCAATACCGCTCTTCAACCGAACGGTATTCGGTTCGTGATGGACTGTTGTACTATACAGCAGTCAACGGCGACATACCTCGTGCCGTCGATTCCGGATCATAATGATTTGCAATTGCGCATCATGTATGGGTGTCACGATGCCCCAACAAGTGGGCATCGCGGTCGGGAAAAGACTTACTTCACGGTGAGTCGTGACTTCTAGCAACCACGCCAGTATGAGTTTGTGCGCAAATGAATTTGCGCTTGCGAAGTTTTACAGCAGGTGAAGCCTAGTCCTTCATCCCCTGCACCCTTGCAGCCTCTACCGATTCCGGCAGGGTGCTGGCAGTCCGCATCGATGGACTTCGTTTTTGGGTTTTCCGAAGCCGCTTACAAGAATACTGGTATTCTTGTGTTTGTTGATCGGTTCAGCAAAATTGCACAGCTTGTTGCTGTACCGGAGTCAAACACAGCCCAAGGATCTGCTCGTGTCTTCATCGATACTATCTTCCGACTTCTCGGGTTTTTCCGTGAACTCGTGTCTGATAGGGACCCATGCTTCACAGCAGAGTTCTGTAAAATCGTGTTCCGTTCACTTGGAAAACGATTGACGATGTCGACTTCTGACCATCCAGAAACAGGTGGTCAGACGAAACGAGTCAACCGCGTCCTCGAAGAGATACTTCGAGGGTATTTCCACTCGTTTACGAGGTGGTGTGAGTTCTTGCTGATGGCGAATTTCGCCATCAGCAACTCGGTGCGTGCGTCAACAACGCATACACCGTTCTTCGTGAATGCCCTACGCCATACACGTTTACCTGCCTTCTTAGAGCGTGACCCAAGTTTAAGGGGTGGTGGACTCGCTCGAACAAAAACCGATCTGGTTCTTGCTCATCACCCGTCGAAAAAGTGTCGACGTGATGGATGCCGATGTCGATGCAATCGATATCGATGACGATGAGCATGACGACAATGCTGGTGTTTTCAGCATCGCCAGTGACTGCCACGGTGAGGACGATGACACCCTCACTGGTTTAGACACCGTTCTTATTGCAGTGCACACGAAGCACACTGCTGTTGACAAGGATTAAATAGCAGAGGAATTATGCTGACTCGCGGAGCGGTTGTCCGCTTCGTTCAAGTATCTATTGCAGATGCACTAGACAGACAGAAAAGAAAGCAGACAAACATGGAAGAGCAAATGTTCTTTAATTTGATGCAGGAGATTTGGTTTTACCGTCTACAGTAATTTTACAGAAACACGCAGCGACAAACGTGGGCAGAAGTAAATTACTGCCCAAGTACATCGGTCCATTTTGTGTGTTGCAAGGTATGGGAAACGCATTCACGGTCGAACTGCCTCACGCATCCTACGTTTTACGTTGGAATTCTCCAGCCGTACTATCAGTACGAGCCCGTTTTAGGAGGCGAAGAATTTCTCCACGATTAAGGGCCGAGACCACCTTCGAGTGTTCCCCTTTTAACGAGCCAGTCTGGTAGACTAGCGAAACGACCTGCTCACGCTGTGGAGCGATGTCTCAACGAGCTGCAGCCAGCTCGTCACGAAGAGAACAAATCGAACGTTCGTTCTCAAGCTGCGTGAACGCAAACGCGGCACGACCGTTCGAACGATCGCGCGTTAGGAAATTGTAATTCTCCTTATATGGTGATCGAACTCATAATTACGAGTCCTTTCATAAGCCAGGTCATCGTGTAACTATTCAATTACACGGTTCAGCTCCTGAACATCAAGCTGATCCGACCCTCGAGCCGGATAAGGTGTAACCGTCTTCACCACATCCTTAAATGGATTCTGGCGGTTATCAAAGGTTTTTGGTGGAGCGTTTCTTGAACCACCGCGACGTGAATGGCGTCCGGACGAGTAACCTCGTCCGCAGTCGTGGCTATCCATTTGCCTGGGACAGCTGGGGGCCTCGTGCCCAGCTAATTGTTGATGCTCCGGGTATCGTCGAGCGATATGACGAGACACACCCGCTGCGTTCGAAGAAAGGCCGTCGGAAATTGAACTCCCCGAACGCGAGTACAGGGATTGCAAGGTGTCAATCCTTTCGGCCATCTCGTAAGAGATGTGCGCCCTACCGTAGAGAACATTTGGAAGGTAGGCCTCCCTAGGGGCATGTTTCGAGTTTTCCAGGCAACCTCGACGCGAATCACCTTAAGAGATACAGGGCAATCCTGTCTCTCATGAAAGCCGTATCGCGCTCCGATTGGGTTGCGTTTCTTAAACCTGATGCGAGCTGCATCAAGTTTACCGATCCAATCCTCGCGGCCAAAAAGTCGATGTATTGGATATGGACATTTCGTCCTTGCACTAAGGCCTTACCGTTGCGGCCACAGTTGCCATTATACCACCGATGTGTAAAGAACACATCGGCAAAGATATTTTCTTCAGCACGGATGGATTATGTGCGGTTTTTAAAAGGAAAGATCCTTTTAAAGTCGAACAACGGGAATCGATCCCGCTCAGTATTCCTTCAGGACCACCGATCTAATATCTTGTATGATTACATCAAAGGACACTACACTTGAGGAGCGTGGCGCAGGACATTGCGGTCCCTGGCCTCTAGATTGGAGTCAGCACGAGCACTGACACCAGTCGCACCTCGATCCCTCAATTAACTTCGCTCGTGGTGATGCTTAGAGGCGACACCACCATCACCACGCGTCCTATCGTTGGATGAACTTGCGTGAGGAGAGGATTATTCAGAAGAATCGCTCGGTCCAAAAATCTCGAGCATGATGCCGCCACGTTTAACAGAGCTAGTCAACGTGGCTTTTGCAGTGTCCGCCCCGGATGATCCGAAGGCGTGAGGTGTCACCATCGAGTCGGATACATCATCCGACTCGCCAGAATATATGAGCTTTATCTCAGACTCATCTCTGTTACGACTCGTGGTACCTGCGTCAGACGCAGCGGATGTACCTGTCGCACGTGGCGACTCATTACGTGGAATTTTCACAACGAAAGGCGACGAATCACCTGCTGCTAAGGTTTGATAAGTACTATTTCCGGTTGCACGCATGCGTGCAGCCACCTTTCTTGCTGCTGGAGTAGCGACTCGCATGGGTTTCGAAACCATGCGTTGGATTGACAAATAATTGAAATTTGACCAACAAGTGCTCCCTTTCCCAGATTGATCAAACGGTGATCACCCTGTACCAAATACCTTTTTTAATCGATGGGTGATTCGTGGTATAGGAGGGGGAATTACGTAACGGGCTAGCCCGTTACATGATGTGGACACCAAACGGTGTCAATAGGGAATTCGTCTTGCGTGGCAATTCCCTGCCAATTTAATTTGAGATAGATAATATTGAAGGTAGATCATCCCTTAAAGTAATATTTATGCGCTGCTCAAAGTTTGGTTGATAACGACATATTTATGAAGGTTACCACCAACCGCTGCTAGAAGCGCGTTATGAGTGGTGAGCAGGTCGTCGTCATACGACAATGTATATTGCAATAATTCAATAAAGACTGAAGTTATATTGATAGCTTAACTATATTAAATACAGTTCTCTTTTCACTCTTTAGTTAAACGAGTCGTTTGAGTAGATTAGCTTCCTTTGCACGCACTAGTGTACGTGAAGTTTCGCGGGCTCCCAAAAAAATGATGCCCCGTTACATACATATTATGAGTCGCCGGCTGTAGTTGCATTGTTTTGCGGTTCAAGTAGGCGCAAGGTGCCCGACTGCCAGGATCGGAGCCCCAATATATAATGTTACTTTTATCGAAGATAACTAAGATATTTGTAAGTTGATTATATGGGTCTATCTTTATTTTAGCTGGTTTGGTGCAGATTTCTAAAGTCTCGAAACATTTTAGGCTTGTTTGAATCAAACCTGAATATTTATAAAAAAAAGTATAAAGCCTTTGATGGCGGATCTATTAATGAAATTTCGAAATAATTTTTATTGTTGTTCGTCGGTTTAATAGGAATTTCGTTTAAAATTGTAGATATGTGTCAATCACTTCAAACCTTTGGAGTACGTAACATAACCAATGTATTATTAGCAATTTTAGTTTCAACTGTTTATATAAGGCGTCATGACGAGAGACTTATCGTTATCAGTCTCATCGTTGCTGGAATAAAGCGACCTTACAAAGCTTTCTTGGACCCGGGTGCATTAAACTACTTCCTACTAGCATTCTTTTTGTCGCATCCCTCGTCTAATACCTCGGTCTGAGGGGGTCCGGGAGCCATCAGTGTCAAAATTGATGATAGGCAATCACATCGTGTACCGCGTTATACGGTACATTGGCCGTACACGTTCGACATTTCCAAGCAATAGTTAATTTGTGGTCTACAAGATGAGTTTTGCATTTGATTGGATTTTAGGGGAACCGTTATTGTCACGGTATCAGCCGACAGTATATAGCTTACACAATTCGTCAAAGACAAAGCACGTATGACATGAGTCAATATTCTCTTTCTATAGTTCCAATTGGCCTCACGTCAGGGTCATAAACAAAGTCGCCATGACTAAATGACAGCACAGACAGAGCTTCTTAGTTCCAATTGGCCTCACGTCAGGGTTATAAGCAAAGTCGCCATGATAAAATGACAGTACAGACAGAGCTAAGACCCTGTGCGTCTGGTATTTTCTGTCACACTTAAATAGTCACAAAATTAAGTGGATGGACTTACACTTTTGCAGAAATCGACGGGACTTTATTCGGTTTAATAAAATGTTAGTAACGAGCTTTGTCGTCCAGCAAAAGCATTTCAAGATGGGCTAATGCAATTTGCATTTTTTCACACATACGGTTGGAATAAAAAGTACACTGTCGTTTCATTCTCATAATAAGGTATTAGTAAAAATGATAGGAATAGAATCGTATTCAATTCGCTAAGCGATTATCCCTTAGCACTAGATAGTGCATATCGTTATTTTCAAGGATGTCGTTGTATCGGTGTAGTAACCCCAGAAGGAACTGTATCAGGTTTTAGAAATTTAATAACATAGGTTTAAATAAGAATACATCTACAATGTTTATTATCGTTATATAATAGCATTTAGATTTAGAAATCCTTTTCATTAGTCTCTGACACGTGTCTTACTAAGACTTCGCTGGTAGTAAGAGATAATTACGTATAGAGAATAGTACTATCAGGCATTGGTGCCACGTCATTTCTTGGAGTCGTTGGTCTGTTAGCCAGGACTAGAAGCTTGCAAGATTGTTTATATACGTCTTGTAAAGTCTATAAAGACTTGATAAGATGCTTCAATTTGTACCCGATTAGCTTTTACGCTAAGAAAATGTGTGATTTTGTATATCATCCTCTGGCAAAGGAGTATGTGTAGTTCCTCTAGTGCATCGTAAAGTGACATAAGCAATGAAAATTGCCATGATACACGCATACACAAGGTTCAAAGGCGCAAATCAATAAACCTTTGTCAGCTGCCAATGAAGATAATTTTCCGGATTATCCCGTGCTTGCATGCTAGAGCAGGATTTTTCTTACAGCTTTGCTTTGAGTTTTTAGCAGAATAGAATTCGAAATATCCATAATATAAAACAATCGTTAGTATATAAGTTTTTATCCGTTGTTCGTTCGGTACTTCCATGCAGAATTGAGCTCCATTCACTTTTTTTTCCTTAGAAGGTGAAGTCGAAATTCTGATCTGTCCAGCTTCTTTCAGATGGATGATAGATTTTAGTGTTCGTAGATGACACCTTGTTCGGCAAAAAACTGTTTTTGATCTCTCAAAATGGGCTGGAAATTGCTCGAAAATTAAACTTATAAACTTAAGGCAACTGTGATATAAGCTCTACAATGAAAACAGCGGTTGGCATTTTCTTTTAAGCTCCTCCAATAAAGTGAGTTGTAAAACAGCAATCATTTTAACACGGTGACGCATCGAAACGACGTAGCATAAACACTTCAAAGCCTGTTATCACTTCGCTCGATCCGTGTAGGCCATAGACAAATGTCGATCATACTATGGGATTCTCAATATATTAAGGTGGTTTTGCTAAATTAGAACGCAAGATCTGTCGAGCCTCATTGTAAGAGCTATCGTCAAATGACACCTTACGTCCACGCATGAGCTTCCTGACCTGAT